GCACCATGGCAAAAGCAATGCTCACACATGCAGGTATGCAGAGAAAAGCACACTAAATTCCGGTGAGGAACAGCTCTCATAAACCAGTTCTAGGCAAGGCTTGTGAAGCCAGTTGGGTTCTGACCTAGGAGAAATGGACTGGGTGAGTCTCAGAAATGTAAAGTAGGGAAGTGATATGTTTGACATGCCCATTCTGATCTCAAAGGCATCTAAAATCTGATAATACAAATATTAAAAGTGTGGGCTGGAAGATTGAGAAAAGGCTGGGATAGTTAGTATTTCAACACAAGTAGACTAGAAAGACTTGTGTCTTTCTCAAGTTTGTTTACAGAGCTTAGGGCTTCCTGACCACAGGGAGGGACTAACATTGAGTTGTAGCTAAAGTGATTCCTCCCTTTCTGCTCCTAAGTAAGAGATCTTCACCCAGAAGTTAGAATGGTGCCTCATCACTCCATTTCGATGATGAGAAAGACTCAGTCTACTAACCCACTTGGGCCTCCAACAGCAGGGAGACCTCCTCAGCTCTTTTGAAAAGTATCTATCCCACCATGCTTCTTGTCTTGGTCATTATAGGTCATTTCAAAATTCAAATTTCTGCAATCTCCTCTCCTCTTGGATTCTTTTACGCCTTTACTCTTTCATTTCTTTTTTTTCTTTTAAATATATTTTATCAATTATGCTATTACAGTTGTCCCATTTCCTCCTCTCTATCCCCCTCTACCTTGTTCCCCTCTCCCACCCACATCCCCTACCCCCTTAGTTCATGTCCATGGGTCATACATGTAAGTTCTTTGATTTCTGCATTTCCTATACTATTCTTAACCTCCCCCTGTCTATTTTTGTGCCTACTATTTATGCTTCTTATTCCCTGTACATTCTCTCCTGTTCACCCCATTCCACTCCCTGCTGATGACCCTCCATGTGATCTCCATTTCTGTGATTCTGTTCCTGTTCTAGTTGTTTGCTTAGCTTGTTTTTGTTTTTGTTATTCTTGGGTTTGGTTGTTGATAGTCTGTGGGTTTGTTGTCATTTTACTTTTTGTATTTTTGATCATCTTCTTTGTCTTAGGTAAGTCTTTTTAACATTTCATATAATAAGGACTTGGTGATGATGAACTCCTTTAACTTGACCTTATTTGGGAAGCACTTTATCTGCCCTTCCATTCTAAATGATATCTTTGCTGGATAGAGTAAACTTGGATGTACGTCCTTGTCTTTCATGACTTCAAGTACTTCTTTCCAACCCCTTCTTGCCGGTAAGATTTCTTTTGAGAAATCAGCTGATAGTCTTATGGGAAGTCCTTTGTAGGTAACTGTCTCCTTTTCTCTTGCTGCTTTTAAGATTCTCTCCTTATCTTTAATCTTGGGTAATGTAATTATGATGTGCCTTGGCATGTGCTTCCTTGGGTCCAACATTTTTGGGACTCTGAGCTTCCTGGACTTCCTGGAAGTTTATTTCCTTTGCCAGATTGGGGAAGTTTTCCCTAATTATTTTTTCAAATAAGTTTTCAATTTCTTGCTCTTTCTCTTCTCCTTCTGACACCTCTGTGATTCAGATGTTGGAACGTTTAAAGTTGTCCTGGAAGTTCCTAAGCCTCTCTTAATTTTTTTTGAATTCTTGTATCTTCATTCTGTTTTGGCTGAATGTTTATACCTTCCTTCTAGCCCAAACCATTGATTTGAGTCTGAGTTTCCTTCCCATCACTGTTGGTTTGCTGTACATTTTCCTTTATTTCACTTTTCATAGCCTTCACTTTTTCCTCTGTTTTGTGACCATACTCAACCATTTCTGTGAGCATCCTGATTACCAGTGTTTTGAACTGTGCATCTGATAGGTTGGCTATCTCTTCATCACTTAGTTGTATTTTTTCTGGAGCTTTGATCTGTTCTTTCATTTGGGACATTTTTTTTTGTCTCTGTATGCCTTTTACCCTAGTAAAGGACATAGCCTTAGGTATTTACCAGGGCAGGGAAACCCATGTCACTGTGTTGTGGTGCTGTATGTTGGGAAGGGGCCTGAGAAAGGACAGTGCCACTTGCTCAGCTCTTGGCGGCTTTCAGTCACTTCCTCCACTACCCACAAGCAAATTGGGCCCTTCTGGTGCTGATTCCTGGTGGGTGGGTTTATGTACATCCTAGGACCCTGTGGATTTCTCTAACGAACTCTCCTGTGAGCCTGCGAGTTTCTCCCACTGCCACACATTCACAGGTTTTTTCAGTCAGAGGTTTTGAGGCTTTATTTCCCCACACTGGAACCCTAGGTTGCTCAGTCTGTTTTGCTCCCCAGTTGTTCTTCCTGGTTTATCTGCACACAAATGTGGAACCAGCCACTCCACCAGCTGCTGATTTGCTTGCCCTGGTCCTCCTGCTGCCACCTTGTTGCGAGTCCTCTTCACCCTGGCTGCCCATCTCCACCCTTCCTCCTGGTCTGAATGAATGTTTCTTCTTTAACTCCTTGGTTGTCAAACTTTCATACAGTTCTATTTTCTGGCAGTTCTAGTTGATTTTGTTTTTAAATTTGTCATTGTCATTTTTTGGTTGTGCAAGGAGGCACAGTGTATCTACCTATGCCTTCATCTTGGCTGAAAGTCCAAAGTATATTACCTTTCATTTCTATTTTCTGCCCATTTTATCTATTGACCCTGGATAATCATTCTATGTAAATTCACTCAATCCATTTCTTCACTTTATTTATATAATCCTTCCTTCCTCCCTCTGTTGGTTAATTTTATATGTCAACTTGTGTTGGTCATGTTTCCCAGTTTTTGGCCAAACACCAGACTAGATGTTGCTCCAAAGATATTTCGAAGATTTTATTAATATTAAAATCAGTAGACTTCAAATAAAGCAGATTACCTTCAATAATATGGGTGAACCTCATTTAATCAGTTAAACATCTTAAGAGAAAACTTTGAGGTCCCTCAAAAAAGAAAGGATTTTACCTTTGGGGCCAAGACTGAAAATTAACCCTTCCCTAGATTTCCATACTCCTGGCCAGCCCTACACATCTCAGACCTGACAAGACCCACATTTGCATGAGGTGAAATAAATCTCTCTCTGTATGTACATATTCTATTAGTTTTGTTTTTCTGGGAAATATTAATATACTCCCTTAAAGATAACTTGACTCAGCCTCATGGAAACCACCTCCCACCAAGTGGGTGTCACTAACTGCTTTTTTTCTCCCGTAATAGACCACAGAGTCCGGAAGCAGAGGCAGAATTTTATAAGCCTCCCATATACTTCCTCAGAAGTCATATTATTTTCTTATTAGGTAAAAACCCATCTTTCTTTGTTATTGTTGCTATCCAAATAAAATAGTACTACTTTTATGTTTTTTCCTTTGCTCATCTACCAACCTTCACATCACTTCCCCTCATTCATTCAAGATAACAATGTCTGGCTCTGCCTGTGCATTTGGGACAGTGATATCTGTCTTGAAGGAGAGTTGTCAGAACAAGAGCCAATATGTATAAAATACCCAACACTCTAAGACCAATGGTAGGCTCTTGATACACAGGAATCACTAGCAATTATTCTGTTTCTATTCAGGACAGTTACTTGTATAACCAGATGAGGCACCAGTGACCATAAGGAAAAGCCATCCAACACCCCTAGTTTCAAAGTTCTTTGACCTTCACTTCAAAAATTTTCACCCAAACTCCTTTGGCCACTTATACCACAGTAATGTCCTTTATCCTGTTAGTTTAAGAGAAAAACATGTTCTGTAAAATTCCCCAGCCACTTACCACAAATTCATTTTACATATTTCAGCCAGAAAAAAAAAAGAGGCTTAATTAATGAAACCATTCCTGTGACTTCCACAAAAAGAAAATTTACCCAGACACTCCCAGTCTCTTGCTCCACAACTGTACTCCTCCCATCAAAAGAAGAGAAGGTATTATGGCTGGTTGGTTACAGCATTAGCCCATATTTTTCTCAATTTGTTTGGAGACAATTTGTCAAAAGTCAGTGGCCACAGGGATTTAATTTCTTTTCCAAACTCAGATTAGTATAAAATCCTAGATGGTATACTTATTCTTCAAACACCAATTCTTTTCAGGTGGTCCCAGGATAATAGGAGTGGGAAAGATGGGTGACCAGGGAGTGTTAACAAGCCTATTAGGTTCTTAAACTAAGCCAGCAATTTCATCAGTGATAAACAGTTGTTATTCATTAGCTTTATTGGACCTCATTTGTTATCACCAAAAACTATTTCACTTGTTTAAAATCTTAGAATAAAAAATATTTATTTCTGACCATATCTTTATACCTCAGTCTTTCTCACACTTCTCTACTATAACTGGTCTTTTGTGTCATTGAGACATAATTCCCTCTGTGCTTTGTCATGATAACAATGAATGCTGAATTGATCTCATTCCCAACAGGGCTCTTAATATGTGGAGCAGGGACTGCTGGTGGCTGTTGTCTAAAGTCTGATGGGTTTTATGCAGTAGAAATCTCTAATAACTCATTATTAAGAGACTGGGGCATCCTGTTTGGACACAAGCAAGATACTGGTCCAAGCTACAAAAGGGGAAAATGTGTGCTTGAGTGTGACCACATTATATACTGAGATGCTCTAAAGTGTGAATCATGGGGGTCCCTGCTGGGCAAGCATAGTGCCCACCCCCAGGGGCTGATGAAGAGCCACATTCTCACTCTGGACTCTAACTTACAAAATACTAATCTCTGCTAACCTCTTGATTATAACTACCAAGGGGTCAGATTCGAGTCTCTTCTCTGAGTAATTCCTTCTTTTTACCGAATGTGAGGATTATTTTAATTTCTTTAAGATTTCAGAAAACAATGACAATTGATGATACATGCAATTACAGAAGAAAGAATTATCACAGAAAAAAATACAAAATTGACTTTTGTAAGGTGATATTTGACAGGGGATTTCCTTCATTAGGAATTTGGCTGATACTTAGATGTTCTTATGCTTCTGTTCCCATTGCTGGCAGTGACTTGCCTTGGCTTGACCTGAGTCTGCGCATTTGAATCACCACTGTGAGTGAGCTGGTTTCAGTGCAGTTCTGCCTTGCTTCGTTGTCATCACATAGCTGCAACAGCTATAGTGTGTTTCTGGGAACATGAAGAGAGCAAGAATTTATTCAAATTTTGCACGGATTAAGTCAGGTAGAGGTGAGTAGTCTAATTCTCCTCTTCTAACTTAGCAGTGACCACTCTCAGGTTCATTCTGTATTTTTTTTAAATCAATTTCTTCACAGCCAGTTGATAAAAGACAAATACCATATGGTCTCACTTGTAAGATGTATCTAATGAACAAAATAAACTAACGAGCAAAATAGAACCAGAGACATGGAAACATGGAACAGACTGACAGCCACCAGAGAAGAGGGGTGAGGGGGATAATGGTGGAAAGAAGGGGAAGGGATCAGTCAAAGAACATGTATGAATGACCCTTGGCATGGACAATAGTGTGGGAATTGACGGCATGGGGGGGGTGTGAAGGGGAAAATTGGGACAACTGTAACAGAATAACAATAATTAAAAAATAAAAAATTTAAAAATACCCCTATTTTTTCTTACTATGTTGGCTCCTCTCTGCCCTAAGAAGGGAAATTTGCTACTGGCCCATTTTGGGAAAGCTCACAGAGATAAACTATTTGGTTCCCACAATGAGTTCAGAAGCAAATAGTTTCTGGGAAAAGTAGATGGAGGAAACAATTTTGCCCTCTCTTTTGTCGGATAGGTTATAGACACTAATAGAAACAGGAAGTGCAGGGGAGTGTGTCCAGGTTCAGAATAAGAGCAAGGGATACGTGTTCCTCTTTAAGACAGTGATTCATTCTGATTTTTCCTGAGGGTCTCCCTCAGATTTAAGGTGCTGCCATCTTCAGAAACTTAAAAGGTCAGGTGTCAATGTGCCACATTGTGATGATTTAGAGGCAGGCCATTATACATATATTCACGCTCTCTTAGTGGGGATGTATAAATGAACAGTAAAGAAATACATAGAATATATAAAATACATACTGTATATGTAAGAAATATATACAATAAAATAAGGGCATGCTTTTTGCTTACTTTTATTTTTTGGCTTCTTTTTAAATTTTATTTTTCAATTATAGTTTACATGCAATATTATTTAGTATTTAGATATGAAGCATAGTTGACAGATAATCATAAACTTTATAAAGTATTCCCCTTGATATGTCCAGTAGCCACCTGGTACAAGATAGAGTTATTACCATATTATGGACTGTATTTTCTATGCTGCAATTTACATCCCTATGACTATTTTGTAACTACCAGTTTGTACTTCTTAATCTCTTCACCTTTTTTAACCCAGTCCCCCAATATCCCTCCTCTGTGGCAACCATCAGTCTTTCCTCTATGAGTCTATGACCCTGTTTCAGTGCTTTTTGTTTGTTTTTTTTTTAATTTTGTTCTTTAGATTTCACCTATGAGTGAGCTCAAATTGGCCAGGTGGCAGCCTTAGCTTCCTTGTTACCAGGCAATTATTGCTCACATTTGTGAAGTTACTCCTCCCTTGAGAAGACCTTTAAACTGACAGAGCTCAAAATTACGGGAATGGGAAGCAAGGGTACAATGAATGGATTATTGAGTATGATAGTAAAAGAGCCTCTCCCACTTTTGTCTCTTGAGTCTCGAATGTATGTGTTTTGGCAATGGAATTAAATAGCACCACATATAAGTCATTGATTCAAAGATAGACTGATTTTTATGGGGTGGGGTTGCAGCCTTGCAGATGGTGCTTTCCAGCTAGCATCACCCTGGAGTCTTCAATAGGACACTCCCATGGCCTATAAGACCAACTGCTTCTGTGTAAAGGAATAAATGGTATGATCAGTCAGTCTCTTAAGTGGGAGCTCATTACTGTATTTTTTATGGTAAAATTAGTTCCTCAACCAAAAACTATTTCTGTGGAACACCATGATAGTGTTATAATTTTGTTCTTGGTGATGCTGGCAGAAGCACTGCAGCCAAAGAAGGCAAACACATGTACAAGATAATGATCCAATGCTGTGAGGACAAAGTGCCATTTTTCTATGGTGGCAGAGGTCCAATATAATCAATTAGTGGAGAATAGTTTCTCATACAGGGGAATAGTTGAAAACAAGGGGCTTTATGTTTAATCCCTGCCATTGGCAGTTGGGAAATCTGTGGCATCAGTAGGCAGAAACCATAGAGGGAAAATCTATCTTGTTGAGCTCATGCATAGGCCTCATCCCACCACTACGGCTATTTCATATATAAGCCCATTAAACAAATACCAGCGTTGCTCACAAAAAATGGCTGTTTCACATACACAGAATGGGGCACCTTGTCAACTTCATTATTAAGGGCTTTCTCTGTAATCAGAAACTTTGAATAAACATGCAAATAATTCATGAGTATATTCATACTCTGTGTTCATTGTGAGAGGTGCATTCACACATGAAATTTACCAGAGTGCCTGTCACTAATCTTCCTACATGGTTCATCTCAAGATTCTGACCAGTTGGCCAATCTATCAGCTGGTGTTCATGAACCAGTCTTCATCTTTATGGTCACCCAGTGTCTCATTATGAGGCTTCTAGTCTCTACCAGAGCCCAGGAGCAAGCCAGAAGCTGGTTTCCTAAAGGTGAATAGCTATTTGTAGAAGATGGTCTGACTTTTCCTCAAATCTATAGATATTTATGTAGTTATTCTTTTTTTTTAAGATTTTATTTATTTATTTCTAGGGAGGGAAGGGAAGGAGAGAGAGAGAGAGAGAGAAACATCAATGTGCGGTTGCTGGGAGTTATGGCCTGCAACCCAGGAATGTATCCTGGCTGGGAATCGAACCTGGGACACTTTGGTTCCCAGCCCGCACTCAATCCACTGAGCTACGCCAGCCAGGGCCTACGTAGTTATTCTTAAAAATGAAGAACTCAGTTGGACAATCTGATTTCAAAGCTCAATATACACTAATAAAAAGAGATGCACTTTTTTAATGTAAAGATGCACTAATAGATTAATGAAATAGAACAGAGCCCAGAAACAGACCCAACTTTTCTGCACTTTGAAACTTTATCAAAAATCAGTTATCAATATATGTATATATCCCTCTGTCAATATAACAGTGTTTTGATTATAGCTTTATGATACATCCTGAGATTAAATAGAGTTAGGTCTCCAACTTTGTTCTTTTAAAAATTATTGGACTTTTTCATATAATTTTTATGCACTATGTAATTTTCTTTAAAAAACCTTGCTTGAATGTTTAGGTTAAGTTTAGTTTATAGATAAATTTGAAAGTAAGGACTCTAAACAATACTGAGTCTTTCAATCTCTGGCCATAATACCTAATGTCTACTCATATGAGTCTTCTTTAACTGTGCTTAAAGATGTTCTGTAATTTTCATTCTGAAAATTCTATACTTATTTTATTAGGTGTATTCTATGTGTAATTTTTATGCTATCATAACTGTATTTTTCTCCACTGTGATTTTTTTTCTTTAACTTTTTCTTTCATGTGTTATTTAGAAGGTGGTTTTGTTTTACATTTTTAAATGTATGGGGATTTTCCAGTTAGTTGTGTATTCTTTTTTTCTTTTTCTTTTTAGTTTGAAATAAGCCAGGCGGCGAAAGACAAATACCATATGATCTTACCTATAAGTGGAACCTAATGACAAAATGAACACATGAGCAAAACAGAACCAGAGGCATGGAAGCAAGGAACAGACTGAGAGCAACCAGAGGGCAAGGGGAGCGGGATAAGGGAGAAAAGAAGAAGAAGGGTCTATTGAAGGAACAGGCATAAATGATCCATGGGCATGGACAACATGGTGGGGGCTGACTGTGGGAGGTTGGGTGGGTGGGGAAGGGAAGAGCAATGGGAGAAAATTGGGACAACTGTAATTGAGCAACAATTTAAAAAAGGTCTTTGCCATAAAAAAATAAAAAATTATTGTATTTTTTTCATTACCATTTAGTCCCCTTATGCCCCACTTGTAATCATCACATTGTTGCCCATGTCCATGAGTCTTTTTTCCTTTTTTCTGAATCCCTCCACTCTCTACTGTATTTTTAAAATTTAATTTTCTAATTGCAGTTTTTAAATTTTTTTATAAACTCTTTTTTTTAAGATTTTATTTATTTATTTTTAGAGAGGGAAGGGAGGGAGATAGAGATAGAGAGAGACAGAGAATCATCAATGTGCGGTTGCTGGGGGTTCTGGCCTGCAACCCAGGAATGTACCCTGGCTGGGAATCGAACCTGGGACACTTTGGTTCCCAGCCTGCGCTCAATCCATTGAGCTATGCCAGCCAGGGCAGTTTTTAAATTTTTATTTATTGATATTAGTTCCTTAGCCTTATTAAATCTACTTATTAGCCTTAGGGGTTTTTTGTAGATTTCATGGTTTTTTCAATACATATATTCATGTCATCAGTGATCTTTATGCCTTTACTCTTGCCTCATTCACTGGATAGGATAAGTACATTGTTAAATAGAAGTAATAAGGACAGGCATCCTTGTGCATCTCTATCATAAAGGAAAAAAGTTAATGTTTCATCTTTAAGTATGACATTAGTTGTAGGTCTTCTGTAGATACCTTTTGTCAGAATGAGAGTATTTTCTTCTATTCATATTTTGAGAGTTTTTCTCATGTGTTGTTTTGTGAAATAACTTTTTTCTGCATCTTTTGAGATGATCATATGATTTTTGTCCTTTATTCTGTTAATGTAAGTGCTCTGTTCCATTTTTTAAAACTTGTTCTCATCTTTTAAGTTCAGTTTGGATTCCAGTGATCTCTCTTCAGGTTTACTGCTCTTCTCTTTTGTGGTGTCCTGTCTGTTGCCAACCCACCGAAATTAACTCTTTCTATTGAATATCATATGTTTTATATTTAGCATTTCCATATGGGTTTTTAGTGTCCATATTCCTGAAGAAATTCCCCTCTGTTTATGCATATTATCACTTTTCTAACTAGATATTTTATTATATTTATCATAATTGTCTTAAAGTTCTTGAGTTGTAAGTCAAACATGTGAGCCATCTTGGGGTCTGCTTCTACTGTTTCTTTCCTCTCTTGATAATGTGTCACATTTTATTGCTTCTTCATGTCTTGAAAATATATTGTATATCAGACAATGATATACTAATTCTAAGAACTGAATGCTAACTTTAGTCA